AGAGGTAAATGGTGTTTATGCCTGGAAATGTACCTGCCATAATCTTCTGCCATGTCATGGTGGAAGAGGAGGTCAGGTCAACTTAGGAGTTGAGCTGGTTTGGGTTTTGTTTTTGCGATGGTTACCTTGTACACACCACCTTCAAATTCCTCTAGCGCTATCTTGTGCTTACTGTGTGGACTGGGCTGCCTGAGGAGTTTCTTAACGTACCTGCTTCACTCTCGGCTGAGACTGTATATATCTGGTGTCTGTACCTCACCACCAGTGGTTGTTGCTGTTGGTACTTGTTAGTCTGTCTGGTGGTGGTGGTATGGAGGGTCTGTTTTCCATTGTCTTCACCCAGCTGTAGTCTTAGACAAATTCAGTGTCCTGGGTCTTGGGGGTGGGACTTTCTCGGTGATCCGGCCATTCTTCGTCATGGCAGCCACACTCTACCCTGTATCCTTGGTGGTTCTTGTATGGGAGAGTTTCCCGCACCTTCCCCGGTGGTAGGAGACTCTAATGGTCTGACACCAGGGCAGACTTTTCCCCATTTCCTCAGCCACAGTGGGTTTCACCTTTGCCCCAAGGGCAACAGGGTTTGATGTCCCACCCCCATGTCTGAACACTTTTCTTTCACAGGAGAAGGGGCCAGCGAGGGTCTCATTCCTTTCTGGTAGAGGAGACTGTTCCTTCTCCAGGTGTGATGACTGTGGTGGGCTCTCTCAGGTGTCCCCTCCTGCCTCCAGTCTTTGTCCCGAGTTCCTGGCAGAGGTGTGTGGATGAGAACCTGCGAGCGGGTGTCACCTCCGTGTGTACGTGGCTCTCGGGGATCCTACGCTCTCACACTTGGCCTTTGGCAAGTTGTTAAAGAATTTTACCTGAATTATTCTTACCTGGTGCCTCTCCTTCCCGTGCGCTGCTACAGGTGAGCCATCTTCTTGGAGGCATTATCTGTCTTGTGCTTTTAAGAGATTCAAACAGAAGCATTACTTTCTATAATTTATGTTTTTTCTTATTACTAGTGTAGAAGTGATGCTTCCAAAACAAGTTACCACAAACTTGGGAGCTGAAACGGCAGAAATGTATTATCTTACCGTTCTGAAGCCGGAAGTCTGAAGTCCAGGTGTCTGCAGGGCTGCGCTCCCTCTGGAGGTGCCAGGGGACATTCTGTCCCTTGCTTCCCCTCGCGGAGGCTCCCCGTGTTTGTTTCTTGGCTGTGGCCACATCACTCTAGTTTCTGTCTTCATCCTCACACAGACCTCTTCTCTGCGTCTTCTGTCTTGTCATTGGATCTAGGGGACACTGGATAATCCAGGATGATCTCTTCTGGAGAGCTTCATCCCATCTGCCAAGGCTGT